TGAGGAATATGTGTGTGGAAGGTGCAAAAAGGGCAAAGTTTAGTGTCGGAAGGAGGAGTACTCTATAAGATGACTCATTGTTCATAGAAGAAAAGCTGGGGTACAAAATCTGAGAGAGGGAACAAACACTTTTATTTTTCTGAAAGGAATGCTGGAGTCTGAAACTGGAGGAGGGATTTAGTTAGTTCCATACCCCAGATTCTTGTGCTGCCTGGGTAACCCCTTAGAGGCCCCTGCTTTCCACTAGCCGAGGATGCAATCATTGACTTTGATTAAAGAGGTGGGTGGTGTGTGCAGTAGGCAGTGTGAACAGTGGTGATGTGAAGGGGTGTTCCCAAGGCCGCACGAAGAACCAATCAACAGTGACTCTGGCTCTTTGCTGGCTCCTTAGAGAATCCGCAGCAGCTGAAGTAAGAGCTACTGACTGCCTCCTCCCATGCTGCAGGCGCCGCCTGGGCGCCACGCCTCTGGGGGCACAGCTCCGGCTGCACTCCCAGGAAGCCGCACGCCCCCGATTTGCGCAGCCTAGCGCCTCTGTGGGGACCCTTTCCCTAATAAGTTGCAAGCCTTGAAAGTGAATCTGTGGAAGTCAGAAGGCCGGGGAAAGAGGCTGCGGGAGGCGGGACTGAGGGTGGGAGGTGAGTAGGCGACTTGCTTCTCCGATTCGTCACAATTAGCAAGTTGGCAGACAACCCCACAAACCCAGGAAGCCTTCGGTCCCCCACAAGTCACATTCTCTATATTTCAAAATAATCTGATTGTAAGGAAACTTCAACTCCCATGGTAGGTTACAGCACCACTATCTTCCAGTTACACTACACAGAAGAAATCCAGTGATCCTCAACTGCAGAGCTCTACCTACATCCCTGAATTCGGCCGGCGGGGAGAAGCGAGTGGGCCCAGCTGAGAGCCCCCTGGAGGAGGGGCGGGATGGCGTATAGAGAAGTAGGATGGAAGTGGATTATTGTGGGACTGCACAAACGCAAACCCATAAGAGGAGTTTTGCCAGGAACACCACCTCCTGCATTGCGTGGGACCTGACCATTTCCAATGTGAAGGAAGGTAGCGCCCGGCTGGGGGCCCTGCGTGGGTGGGGCTGTGGGCCACAAGGGAAGTAAGAGTCGGTGGGTTTTTCTGGTAGGTGAGGGTAGAGCTGTGCTGGCAAGGGTGGGAACTGAATGACAACCCCCTGTCTGCCAAACCACCCCCTCATATTTTCCATCTACCTCCTCGCTCCTGCCCTCCCACGCCCGGGTGGGCCAATTGCTGCTCCGCATTCCAGGCGCTTTCTCAGGTTTCTGCTGATCTTGCAGCGCCCAGAAATGGACCGAGGGGACCCGCCGCTGCACGCACCCTCCCCATTCGGAGCTCCTAAAGGCTCCTGGCGCGTCGTGCAGCCCCGGAGAGGTCCGCACTGGGGTGCGGAGAGCAGAGGGGACCGGAAAGCCATGTAGATCCAGGCTTTTGC